AGGTATTTAAAAAAAATGTTAATTTTGCTATTTGCCTTATATGTATATATTTTGGTTAAAGTTAAAGGAATGAATACTTGAGAAATGCATTTAAGAAGGCTATTGAGTAAAGAACTACTCTGGCTGCAGGCCAGGTTTTTTCTTTGAGCTGAGTTAAAGTTGATGGCAAGCCAACCCAAATGAGACCTTGAGATCCCTGGATTGAAGATCCCTGAATTGAGGAACTCTGAGCTAAGTACTGCTGATCTTATCCCTGTCCTGCCACAGCGGTAGGATAATCAGCATAAACTGCAAAAAACCAGCACCACTTTTACACTCAACCTTCAGCACCACTTGCGCAACCCCACACTTCCACTCTGACTGTATTTTTTTATTTTGGACTTTGAATGGATAATTACCTTCCTCATCCCTTTGGAAGTGCATCCTTGGTGTCTGCAGAACTGAGAATTAATTTGGTTTATATGATGTACTATGATGTCCTGGTTATTGTAGTTTGACTATTGCTCATACAGTGAAAAGCGAATGATTATGAAGTTGATGTGAGATGTGAAGTGATAATTTTGAAACAGGTGTTGTTTAATAAGGTCCTTCACCGGAAGTGAATATTGAGGATTTAGATTTAATTTGAGTTATTTATAATAGGGTGCACCCAGTAAGGAAATAAGAGAAATACTTGAAAAAAGATCAGTGATTTTAGCCCAGCTGAAAAATCGAGGTAATTATACAAGCTCAGTGATTTCTACCTTACAGAAAGATGCCAAAGGAAATAATTCATTAAGGGAGAGAAACTGAGGTGTTTTTCGTTAAAGTGAACTGTATATTAATGGTTATATTATTTTTGGTCAATTGTTTAAAAACAATACAAGGTACCCGTTCATAACTCACTGTCTTGTGTGGTCACTGAATATTGCAAGCAACATTCTGCTCCTTGGCGAGTCTAGAAAATTCTGATTCTGGTCCAGTTTGGCTGTAATATTTTTTAACAAATAATTTACTGTCTGTAATCATTAGTAGGGTTAGGAGCCGTGTGCTACATAAAAGTGGCAAGCTAGCCAGGAGCAGATAACTGATTTGCATTGAACACTGACTACAAAAGAAAATGGATATAGTCCAGAAACACAACATCAAAGTTCCAAACTCTGTAATGGTCAGTGGAATAGCTGGAGATGAAAAAGATGAAGAAATTGTAGATTTCCTAAAACAGTACGGTTCCATTATCAGAATCATAACAGTAGATGACAGTTCCTCAGAGTTTTTCCAGAGCCTAATCATAGAGTACAACTCAGGAGTTGTCAGCTGATGATGGTGGTGTTACCTACCGTTTAGTCTTTTGCTAGCATGTACACACAGACAATGAGAAATACCACCACTCAGTCCTATCTTGCCAACTTTAAGGGCTTGCTAAGTTGAGTGGGAGGGATTATGCCGAGGTTCTCAAAGACATGATGTCCCAAATAAGCAAGTCTATCGCTGATCTTGTGTCACCTACATCTGAAAAAAAGCTCTTGAAGAATCTGAATCAGATGTTGTAGAAACCCTGGAACAGCTTCCCAAAGTTAACCTTCCTATTAAAGCTGCCTCATCAGATGTTGACAAATCACCACCTGTAGTTCCAAGTGTTGGACTCCAGAACATTACTGCACTTACTTCACATGATCTCAGCCCACCAGAAGTTCAGAGAGTTGTAGTGGAGCATATTGTGAAAAGGGAAGACAGTGCACTACAGATGCATTCCTCACTGTGCATTCTCATGACAGGTCCCCAGACCTGCTCATGAACCTGACTATGATTCCTGGCGATCCAGTGTAGAACTTGTCATGACTGATCCTACCACATCAGACCTTCAGTGGTCTCGGCTGATGTGGTCAAGCACTTGAGCCCTAGTAGCTTGCTCGCTTGATCAAACCCTACAGCTGCAGCCGAACAGTTAAACTAGACACAGATACTGGTTCTCAGGTGACTACGGTTCCAGAGTAATTTTACAAACAGAACTTATCAGGTCAAGACATCAAACCGCTTAATGATCTTTTAGAGGTTGAAGGTGCGGCCGGACAATCTGTCCCTTATCTAGATTACATAGAGATGGCTGTTACATTCCCCAAAGACTTTCTTGAAGTTGACATTGAAGTAGCCAGTCACCCGTGTTGATAAGAACAAACACACTTGATGTCATATATGCAATATACTCAGACATTAAGACCCCAAACCACTGACCAGGTCATTACGGTTACAGGGTAGTACTAAACACACTTGAACTAAGAAAAAAAGCAGAACAAAGATGGCAACGTAGGTTTAGTCAAAATGCTTGGGAAGACCCCAGCTGTCATTCCTGCAGGCCACACCATCATTCTGGAGGGATCAGCCAACATTCATGACCCCTCTGCAGACAAATGGGTCATCATAGAACACCCCACCCAGTCATTGTTGCCTGGTGGCCTTTGTGTGAAAAGTTGCCTGTTAACCCTTCCTGCTAATTCACCGTACAAAGTGCCTGCGGTAATTAAAAATGAATCGAAACAGGATGTCACAATCTCACCTACCTGTGTCATCGCTGAGCTTGAAACTTTTCACAGCATTCTATCACAACACAATGTGACCAATGCAGCTGATATAGAAACAAACTCAGACTTGAGCTGTAGCGATTCTCCAATACCACAGGAGTGGAAGCGGAGCGTATCACCAACAAGCTGAATGAAATGCCAGAAGTCTTTGCTCACCACAATTTGGATTTTGGATGTACAGACAAGGTGAAGCATCATATAAAAGGCCACTCAATGATCTAACTCACGGATATCCACCACTCTGCAAAAATTCAAAAAACAAGGCAAGAACAGATCAATATCATGACCCCAGACAACCCTTTGAGGGTCAATGGACATTGACAGATGTGATTGCCAGAGAGCATTTGAGACCGTCGTTGAGAAGCTTACCACAGCCCCTGTTCTCGGTTTTGCAGATCCCAAGTAGCCTTATATCCTGCACATGGACGCCAGTACTACTGGTCATGGAGCAGCGCTATACCAAGAACAGGAAGGCAGGCTTGGGGCCATAGCTTTCGCTAGTCAACGGCTGTCACAAAGCGAGTCTCGCTATCCGGCCCATAAACTGGAGTTTCTCACCCTCAAATGGTCTGTGACCGAGAAAATTCACCACTATCTTTATGGGAATCAATTTACTGTTGTCACAGACAGTAATCTTTTAACATACATTCTTATCTCTACAAAGTTAGATGCCACCGGTTACAGATGGCTTGTGGCCTTGTCTAACTAGTCCTTTAAACTTTATCATTTATATATAATACTATCAGGCGGGTAAGCTAAACTTGGACGCGGATGGCCTCTCCCAACGACCGCATGGAGAACTCCTTGACAATGCCCAGTCTAAGAAAGAGCAAGAGCACATAGCTCGCTTCACTCAACGTCACTTAGCTGACAGGGACCCAAGAAGGGGTGAATCAGGATGCGATCTGTGAAAGTCATTTTGTTGGAGTTGCAGATGACCCCTAACTAGGGTTGGGCATGAACCATTTCCAAGAACTGTGGATTCGATAAGAAACGTGCGTTTTATTATTTTCTATAACTTTCTGCATGTTTAAGTGATGCTCCCGACTGAAATGAAGTGAGTGTTTTATTGTTTAAAAAAGTGTCAATTATCTGCCAGGACCTGCTAACTGGACCTAATTTCACGTCATTTGTTATGCAGTACGTCAAAAAACTCAACGTCTCACACCCAGCTACAAAACAGGTGAGCTGATATTCACTATTTATACTGAAGGGAAATGAATGATGTCTACAAATGATTCCAATATATTTTCCCCCCCTCTAGTACACAGTAGACTCTCACTTTAGCCATGAAGGGGAAGAGGAGCAAGGAGAAAATGGATATAGGTCACAGAACGCTGACAAGATCTGTGGTGAAAGGGTTGGAACCAGAACAAAGATTCAGTAAGAACCGAAATCAATAAGTAGAATGGGAATCAGATTTGGAATCGATAAAAGTAAAATGATACCCAACCCTATCCCTAACCAGGATGTCCGCTTGGACAGTAGGCTACCTCACACAGGAACACCCAATGTAATAAATAACTGTTTTGTTAAGTTTTACAGAGAGTGAAATGTCATTACATAAATAACAATAACAATAACCTGTGTCATATCCAATTGATCAATGTGTTTCAAGTGTTGTTTCCTTTTTGCGAAATGATTTCTTGCCATTTTTAAAAGAGATTTATGATTTTATTTTGCTGTCTGAGCATAGTCTTTATGGAGGACTGATCCTGACACATTCAGAAATAAATACAGAAATAAATAATGCTCAATAAATATATAAGCATCCGATTAAATGCACAAAAAAATTAAGTAAATAATAAATGCTGGCAGTAATTAAATTATACAAGGAGATATAAATGTATATATCTATTTAATATTTTGGGGTGGGAAGGTCCAAAAGAAATCATTATCATTATAATGTCC